TTTGGTCTGGGGTAATGTTGTAACTGAGAAAGCTTTGCAGAAATCATTCTGAGTTACAGCTGGGAGCTGCACGTCCGTCTGTACCCTAGGTTTCACAGGGGATGGTGATCAAAACCCTCCAGCAATAGAGCATACAGTCTAAAGGAGAAAGGACCTGAAGAAGCAACTCAACTCTGGGAAAGGACCAGAGAGTTACAGGACTGCAACAAGTAGCACAAAAAAAAAGTGAGGGGGTCAAAATGTAAAACACACCCAATGCATGTATACAAATGCAAGAAGTATGGGGAACAAACAAGATGAGTTAGAAACTGCAGCCTGTGAAAAGAACTACAATCTGGCGGGACAGGTCTTGTGACTGGAACATGAACACTGAGGGTCAGACAGTTTCAGAAGGACACGGTTAGGAGAAAACGTAGCAGTGTTGCCTTGCATGTCAAACATGCATACAATTTTTCCCAGGTTCCAAAGGAAGACTACAGCAATGCAGAATGCATCTGGGTGAAAATGTAAGGTGAAAGGTATGGCACTGATATAATGGTGGGGATTTATTATAGGCCACCTACATCACAAAGAGGATGTGGACGAGATACTCTTCAAGCAGGTGACAAATCTATCCAATCTATAAAAAGGTCTTCACTGTGAGAATAGTGAGGCAATAGAATAGACTGCTTAGGGAAGTTGTGGACTTGCAATCACTGGAGGTGTTCAAGAAGAGGCTGGACAGCCCTGGGTTGGGGAGGATCTTGCTGTAGCTATGCCTATTTTCTACAGTGGGTATTTCCCATGCTTCTGGGCTTTGTTGGTTGCTCCTGCACCCCCTCCCTCCCTCCCTTTTTCTGCTATATGTATTAGGTGGTTCTTAAGCCTCCCCAGAGGCACTGGGTGTTAGCCACAGCTAAGGCTGAGGACTACAACTGTGGTGTGCCATTTCTCCTGCTAGGAGCAAAGTCATAGGTTCCTGGCTAGAGGATCTTTCCTCTGCTCACGGTCAGACCAATCACTATATTTGGGATCAGGAAGGAATTTTACTCCATAGTCAGATTGGTATGGACTTTGAGGGATTTTGCCTTCCTCTGTAGCAGAGGGTATGGCACTCTACCCAGGACCTCTTGAGTGTATATTAACAGCATTTTATACAAACCAGACATCAGCTGCTGTGGTCCCCTGCTTTACCTATAGCAGGTTAGGGTGTTGGGTCTATGTTGTGTCAAGGTTGAGGGAAGTTTTATGCAGAGCTTAGATCAGGGGAAGGCAAAGTCTGGCTCATGGGCTGAATCCATCCAGCAATGGACTCCGTTATCCAGCACCCCCTGCCTATATGACTGGGACTGGTTTCCATGGAGACCCCAACAGCAGTTGCACTGTGCAAGCACAGGGCTGGGGTTTCTGTGGAGACCAGCCCCAGCAGCACTGACAGGCAGCAGCGATGTCAGCCCCTTCCTGGTAGCAGGCCTGGTTGGGGGAGGGGGTGCAGCCAGGAGCAGGGTGGGCTCAGATGCTACCCCTTGTGCAGGGTGGGCAGCAGCAGTGGCAGCACTGTTGGGAGGGGTGGCTATGGGACACTATGGAGAATTGGGGGGGGGGGCTATACCCCAAAAAAAACTCTACCTTACACCCACCCTGCTGACAGGGTGCGTGGCAGGGCAGGGAGCTGCTCCAAAGCTATGCTGGGATTTTGCAGCAGTGACAGCATGGTCCAGAGCCAAGACAGAGTCATGATCTACAGCTTGCACACCCCGGGTAGGAACATGTAGGCAGCAGATTGCAGCTCTGCCTTGGCTCCTTGCAGTAGTCACAGCACAGTCCAGCGTCATGATCCACTGCCTGCATGGCCCTGCTGGGGTATGCAGGCTGCAGATCTCAGCTCTGCCCTGGCTCTGGACCATGCTGTCACCACCTCAAGATCCCAGCACAGCTCCAAAGCAGCTCCGCGCCCTGCCAGCACTGCTGGGCCAGTCTCCATGGAAACCCTAGCCTCATCCTATCACAGCATGGCTGCTGCTGGATCTCCCTGGAAACCAGCCCCAGCCACATGGGAAGGAGCTGCTGGGAAATGGAGTCCAGCCACTGGCCAGATCCATCATTTTACCCACCCCTGGTTTAGATTATGACTGTATGGGATGGTTTGGCTAGGGATGATCCTGCCTCAGGCAGGGGTTTGGACTAGATGACCTCTGGAGGTCCTTTGTAACCCTACTTCTCTATGACTGTATGACAACAACCTGGTAGACGAGAACTTTGTTTAGGGGTCCTGATGTCGTGATCATTGAAGACATGATTTTGGAGACATTCAAAGGTAACGCTGGCAGATTTTAGCCAGTGTTTATTCTAGTCATTTATGTTTCCTTTTTGGGAAAGGTGGCTTCCCAGGTAGGGTTAATGCTCAATAGTCTCCAAAGATTGCCCTCCAATTGTAATTTGTCAAGGAGCAGCTGGTTGGCTGTTTGGGGTGGGTTGGTAAAGGATCTTGGTTTCTGAAGTTGACAGTGAGTCCAAGTATTTCATATACTTCACAAAAATGATGATGAATGACCTGGAGCTTTTCAGTGGGTACACACAACACAGTCATCAGTAAAATCAAAATCTGTAATGCAGGTGTTAATTATCTTGGACTTGGAATATAACTTGGTGATGTTAAAGATATTCCCATCCATGTAATACTGGATGCTGACTCTGGATGGAAGTCTTTCAGCAATGAGATGCCAAATACTGTGATATAGATAGAAAATAGTGTTGGTACAATAATACATCCTTACTTGACTCCAGTTCTAACAAAGAAGGGGTCCAGTTCCAAGCAGTCATGCAATGAAAAACACCAGGTATCCAGCATATAAAGCAAGGGCAGTCTCACTGTATGTAAAGATATCAAAGTTCTTCACAAAAAGATGAAAGACAAATATCATATTGCAAAGGTAACAATCAAGGAGGGTTACCACATATCACAAATTTACCTTATTCTATGTGAGAAAATGATTCATGTGCCAAAAATAAAGAAAGGTGAATGGAGAGGAGCAGACTTAGGTTCATTGTTAAGCTTTTTAACAATACAGGAAATGGTACAAGTAGTCAGACTCATCCTTGACAACTGTTTTTGTTATAAGAGATTTCAGTGAATATTTGTGCATCACCTCTAAATGTTCCAATCAATACAAAAAATGAACCACACTTTGTAAACACCATGATCACATCAATTGCTATTGTATTTGTAATTAAAATCATTTATCAAATGTGTTACTAGGGTGATCATAATAATCTCAACATATCCATAATAGCTTTCTATCTAACATTATTTCTGGGTTTACACAAGTCTCAGAGCCATGAATCATCCAGTGTTATAAATTTAACATTAGAAATTAAGGAAAAGTACCACCTATTTGGAAAAATAATGTAAATCTTTGCTGACTTCAGTTTCATAGGCAATACAAAATATCACCTCCACTTCTTCACTCATAGAAAAAGCAACTGCAGGATTTTCAGGGAAGTCACTTCTTTCACATCCATACATTTAAAAAGTCTCATACAACAGGAAACGGAAGTATACTATTCAGATATTATGCAGTACCTACAGGTTAAGAGGTAGTGGTGGGGGGAAGAAACATAGAAAAGATTATTTTTTTGTTATAGGTTTACAGGACCAAATATATATATTATTGCTAGTACCTTGATAACAAAAGGTACTGCTGACAAAGCAGACAGGAATTTGAAGAAAACCATTATTTATTACATGCCAGTCCCATATATCACATCAATGTCTGATCATTTCAAACAAATGCAAGGTGTCTGACATCAGATACTTGAAGACCAGGCAGAGAGAGAGAAAAGATAAATAAAAGATGTCAGAAAAGACTAGGTCTTCTCCACTCTGTAGCAATCCTCTGTTCAACTATATTCTACACTTCTTACTAAACCTTTCCCATGACCAGAAGTTTTAGCAGCTGCAGAAAAAAAAATCCACTTTAGAAGCACACTAGTACTGCGATAAAATTTTGATACAGAAACTTTTTTTATTTTTTTTGGGGGGGGGGGCAGGGAGGGGAGGGGGAGGAGCAGAGATCCAGACAAAATGACTTTCTACTTTAAAATGCAAGATCTGATTCCTTCATGTTTTCTACTCCATTTTTTTGCTCTGTCCTGATCAAATTTTGAGAAACAAAAGAGGTAGAATCTCTCCCCAACTTTCTATGCAAGTCTAAAATGTTATGAAGGTTTCTCTTCCATGGCTTATGCTCAAATAAACTATCCATGGTTTCAGTAGAAATTTCACCTGGATAGATGTGTGTGTGTTGGATATTAGCAAGATTGATGTAAAGATTTTGACAACCTTTGACTATCTGTCATTCATTTTCCATGGAGCCAGTATCTCAAGCAATAATTATTTTAAAGGCTTTTCTGTAACCCAAGCACCATAGAGTAGTTCATGCTTAGCTTGTGCCTCATATTAAGAATGACACATCCTGCTGTAACTCTACATAGACACGTTAGAATATTGCAGGGAACAGAAAGATGGAATTCAAGTTTGCGCAGTCCAATTCTAGATCTTTGAAATTCTATCCATCCTGTGCAAAATGAGCCTCCACTTGTTTCTGAATCAGGAATTCAAATTTCAAGTCAATCAGTTTTATCCTCCAAAGTATGAAACTCCCATACAACAGATGGTATTTTAAAGATTCAGGTGTATATCTAACTGTAATAGGGAGCTAGGCATACCTGTTACTAAAGGGAAGTCCACCAATAGTGAACACCTGGGAAACGCCAAAACAATGAAACACCAGCAGCGGGTTAAACTCAATTGCTGCCTGAGAACCAGGCCGCGGATAAAAGGCAGATTTGCCGGGAGTTCATCCTTCGGCAGGGCACAGACAATGGAATGCGACAGAGCCAGTATTGAGAGGACCTTCAGCAAGGATACACCGTAGGACTAGAAGAGCCTGCACAACAGGAGAGACAACGGTAAAAACCACCAGAGAGGTAGGCAGCTGATCGGTCACTTATGTGTTTGGGGGAGCGCCCTCTCGGAGCAGCATGGTGGTGACCTCTTCCCAGAGACAGTGTGGTGTTGGCAGAGCAAAACCTGTGAAGAAGTGGGTCAGAAGTCAGTGCAGGGGGAGTACAGAAGCTCCCAAACATATCTAAGGATGGAGGAAAAGGGGAAAGGTGGGAACCATGTTGTTACACTGTATCCTGAAATGGCAGGAGTAACTGACAGTCACCTTGTTACCTAGTAAAAGATACATCACTTAGAGTCTGTTTCACCTGTGTTTCATTTTCTAATTCTTCCCATCGAGGCATGGCAGGTGAGTGTGAGGGGTGGACAAGTATTCAACAAGAGACCCGATAACACTAACAAAATGCTGCTCATTTTTAAATTAATCCACACCTATTACATGTGTTGTAATATGGTTAGTTTACTACAATCCTGTTCTAGAGCAGTAATTAGGATCCAAAATAGTTCAACTGTCTGGAGGGACAATATGATGGTCAGGTGCCAATCCTTGTGCATGGGTTGGATGTTTATCATAAATCATAGAAAATTAGGGTTGGAAGGGACCTCAGGAAGTCTACTTCAACCCCCTCCTCCAAGCAGGACCATCCCCAACTAAATCATCCCAACCAAGGCTTTGTCTAGTTGGGTCTTAAAAACCTTCAAGGATGGAGAGTCCACAACCTCTCTAGGTAACCTGTTCCAGTGTTTTACTACCCTTCTTGTGAGAAAGTTCTTCCTAAACTTCTGTTGCTGCAGCTTGAGACCATTGCTCTTTGTTCCGTCATCGGCCACCACTGGGAACAGTCTAGCTCCGTCCTCTTTAGAACCACCATTCAGGTAGTTGAGGGCTGATATTAAATCCCCCTCGAGTCTTCTCTTCTTCAAATTAAATAAGACCAGTTCCTTCAGCCACTCATCATAAATCATGTGCCCTAGCCTCCTAACCATTTTTGTTATTCTTTGCTGGACTCTCTCCAATTTGTCCACATCCTTTCTGTAGTGGAAGGCTCAAAAAGTAGACACAGCACTCCAGATGTGGCCACAGAGGGGAATAATCACATCCCTCGATCTGCTGACAACACTCCTACTAATGAAGCCCAGTATGCCATTAGCCTTCTCTGCAACAAGGGCATACCATTGGCTTATATTCAGCTTACTGTCCAGTGTAACCCCAGGTCCTTTTCTGCAGAGCTGCTGCTTTAGCCAGTCAGTCCCCATCCTGTACCAGTGCATGCAACTATTCTGTCCTAAGTGCAGAACTTTGCATTTGTCCTTGTTGAACCTCATGAGATTTCTTTTGGTCCAATCCTTTAATTTGTCGAGGTCTCTCTGAATCCTAGCCCTACCCTCCAATGTATCTACTATTCTCCCCAGCTCGGTGTCAACTGAAAACTTGCTGACAGTTCACTTCATCCCATCTTTCAGATCACTTATGAAGATACTGAGCAAAACCAGGCCCAGGACCAACCCCTGGGGCACTCTACTTGATAGTGTCTGCTAACTAGACATCAAGTCATTGTTTACTACCCTTGGAGCCCAATGCTCCAAGTGCTTGGAAATGGATTCCTTGACGACCTACTCCATGATTTTTCCAGGGATTGAGGTGAGGCTGACTGGTCTTTAGTTCCCCAGATCCTCCTTTTTCCCTTTCTTAAAGATGGTCCCTATATTTGCCAATCATCCAGGACCTCTCCCAACTGCCATGAATTTTCAGAGCTAATGGCCAGTGGCTCTGCAATCACCTCAACCAACTCCCTCAGTACCCTTGGGTGCATTGCATCTGGGCCCATGGACTTGTACATGTCCAGCTTTTCTATATGGTCCCTAACCTGTTCTTTTGCCACTGTTGAATGCTCACCTCCTCCCCAAATTGTGCTACCAGGTGTGATAGTCTGGGTGCTGATGTTGCCTGTGAAGACTGAGGGAAAAAAAACATTGAATACTTCAACCTTTTCCACATCATCTGCCATTCAGTTGCCTTCCCCATTCAGTAAGGGACCTACCCTTTCCCTGGTCTTCCTCTTGTTGTTGAATGTTATGGGTAATGTTATAAACCCACATTTTCTACTCCATATTCCAGAATTATATTCTGTCTCATCATGTGACTTACACTAATGTTACTCTAGTCTTGTTTTCCCATCATATCTACGTGGCATGGGATGTAGTGATCTGAAAAGCCATATGAAAACTGTTAGAAGAAAAATATAGCTCATTCAAAATATTAAAAATTAGTTGTAAGGCATTTGCTTACACTGCATAATGAAGAAAACAGATGTTCAATAAAACAACATGCAATACACTAACAGAGTTGCTCTGCATCTATCATGGATGAAATCGCTTCATTAAAAAAAGATTAAATACCATATAGATAGTGTACATTATAATTTACTGGAGGGCTTGTGCGATATTTGACTGATTGAAGATAATGTGTACATATAGTTTTATTAAAATGAGAATGAAGGAAGATATTTCTACACATGAAGTGAATTTACTCCTAGATCTTCACTGCAACTGTGTTCTGTACTGCTGCTCACCACCTCCTAAGCTACCCCCTGTCAGGACAGCTCTTTCCACCTATATTTCCCTATTTGTATATAGAAAGCAGCAGGAGCATTGGCACTCTGCACTGATATCAAGCATTTCTTAAAGGTAAATGTGCCCTGTTGCTCATAGTTACAAGGCAGCAGCCAAAGAATAAAAGGTCTCAATCAGAGAGCACAGAGTCCACGAGAATTTAGATTTTGTTCATTTATATACATTTCTAGGGAAGTCGACACCCATCAACTACCTGCTGCTGCTACATGCATCTAAAGGGACTCACTGTAAGCCTGATCCTGAAAGCCTTCCTCAGAGTGATAAGCCCTGACTGCAAATCCTGATTGCTTTCATTGTACCTTTTTGCAGAGTAAAGTGGTATTCAATACACGTAAAGGTATCAGATGTGACCCTGAGAATTTATTTTTACTACTCATGATTACATTGCTTTTATATTCAACTTAGATACCTTTCTTTAATACATACCAAGATACTTCAATTTATGGCATTGAATTTTAAAGAACATATAATACAGTCAGTCAATGGTGTTATTCATGTAATTTTCATTCCTAAGACATTCGAAGTAGTACAATTAAGTGCTCGATTCTGTCCACTTTTTCAAGGCAAGTCATACTAATTTGATGGGGCTCATCTAAAGTCCACTGAGGTCAATGAGCTTTGACATTAGTGGATTTTGAATAAAGTCCTATGTAAATAAGAAAGACAGAAGTGGTTCCTAAACTACAAATTCATTCATTTTGTGTGAGTTACTACAGCACAGGCCCTTAATCCTAATTAATACATTTATATTTGCAAAGAAAAACATGTAGATTATCCATCCTGAGAACTAATTGCTAGAATAGAAATCCCAAAGACACTATACTCCCATCACCTGTAAAAATGCATCATTCATCCACCCAAATTCTAGCAGGAGTAAACACATGTATAGAAGACATTTTAGGTACTAATTGATAAAAATCCACTAAAACAGGATTGGCAATATAATCCTAGCTATTATGATTGATTTGTTAGTTAAATCTGTGTTTATAATCAATTGCTTATGAAGCCCTCTAGATAAATAGGTGGTTTAGCCTAGATGGTATGTTAGATCACTAATGAAAGACCCAGAGTAATCCCCAAACAATTACGTACTCCTGTGCTTACAAAACAAGCTTGTATACTGAATCCATTAACAAAATTTAGATATTTAAACACTGTCTTTTGGATGTCCTACAATATTAATTATACCTGATATATAAAATGTATTTAATTACAGCTAAATGTGATTCTGGATGAATTAGCTACATGTATAAAAAATTACACACATCTTTTTCTCTGTTATGAACAATTTAGCATCAGCTCTGAAGCATAAGGCTTTGTAACATAAAAGATGTTACCAGTGAGAAATCAGTTGTAAAGGAACTTCATAGGAAATAGAAAAGATAAAGCACCAGAGATTTCTTTGGCAACTGCTTCAGGAGTCCTGTGCAAAATATCAGCCAAGAAAAGCCTTTAGCAGACAAAGTTCCTTGGGTGAATCTGATATCTTTTATTAGACCAACCCAAATGGTTGGAAAATAATTATTAAACAAGCTTTCGGGTTCAAAAACCCTTCGTCAGGCTAAGAACGTTTCAGCAGTTGGTGTGAAAAGCCTTTAGCATTTTGTGGATTCTCTTCCACAATCAGATCAAGCTCATGCTATCAATACATGGGCAGCCAATCTTTTCCTGGGTCAGAAGACAGAAAGCTCTATCAAACTACCTCTTTTAATATAAAGGACCCTAAGTGAAGGTATTGTCAAAAAGGTACCTGTCTGACAAGGCTGAAGTTCTAGGTTTATCCACAAAACATATAGAAGAGCAGCTAAGTGAGCTTCTCCACGCATTGTAATATTCCACTTGTCATAACTATTCCAGGGTGGGGTTCTGTGTCTTATCTACCCAGACCTCTCTTCTGGCACGTGCCAATGATGATGAAATCTGACTGTTTTGTGCATACCTGCCAACTAGAACAAAACACCATCTTGTTTCATTTCAGGAGCAAAGATGGGCAAATTAGTCCCAAAAAAACATTTAACAGGCAAAGGTAGTTCTCTTTTTTGTGACCTAGGTAGCTATAAAGAGATTTTTTTACTAACTGGTTCATTATTCACAGTAAGACCAAAACTTATGGAACTATATTTCAATCTTTAGACTGTGCATGAGATCTGTTGGTTGCTAAAATCATGAAATCCATGGTCACTCATAGCACTGTTTCTCTTCCTGTTAGATGATTTCCAACCAAAATAGGCTTTCAAGTATCAACATTAACACACATATACATTCTCTCAAGTCTTCATTACATGCTTTTTCTCCACTAACCTTCTTGTGAGCAAAGTATTGAATTAGATGGAGGTTTGTGGAATATGAATAAAGGGGTTTCGAATCTCTTCAAATGGAAGAGAAAGGTTTCAGTCCCATGAAACTACAAATAAAGTATTTGTAGCATTCACCTATTTTGAAAAAGTTCTGGCTACTAGAACACGGTCCTAGAACAAAAAGGTTGTTTATTC